CAGCAGCAGCAGCAGCAGCAGCAACAACAACCGGCTGACAACACCAACGCCGATTCATCCAACAACGACACCTCGGACTCGACCGAGTGCGAAGAAGACTCGGCTGACACTTCGGACAACGCCAGCAGTGGCGCTGCTGCTGCCGCCGCTTCGGGCAGCAAGTCCAACGCTGCCAAGGGTAACGGCGGTGGCTCGTCTTCTTTTTCCTCCTCCAACTCATCCTCCAACTCGTCATCCTCCTCCAACTCGGGCTCTTCTTCGTCGTCCTCCTCCTCCTCCTCGGAGTCGACGTCGGGCTCGTTTGACGGACAGGCAACCTACTATGCGCCCGGACTGGGAGCGTGCGGATGGACCAACACCGAGTCGGACTACATTGTCGCCGTATCGCACTCGCTCTTTGACTCGTTTGGCACGGGCAACCCCAACAAGAACCCCATCTGCGGCCACAAGATCAAGGCCACCTACCAGGGCAAGTCGATCACCGTAAGCGTAAGCGATCGCTGTGAGGGTTGCGCCTGGGGAGATCTCGACTTCACTCCCTCCGGCTTCCAGCAGCTTGCACCGCTCTCGAAAGGTCGTCTGGACGGTCTCACTTGGTCCTGGATCGGCGCGGCCCCTTGAACGACCGCCGAAAGGTAGCTGGTTCTACCGAAAGTGGGATTGGGAAGCGTCTTTCTGTCGGCTGGATTTCCGACAAGGATGCGCGAGAAAGGAATGCGCTGCCAGTGCCCCCACGACCTTGATGGTTAGGGGGACGCGCGCATCCATAACAGCTCTGTATAACACTCTCTGCATGTATTCTGATCGCAATGGTTCTTTGACGCCAAAACCAAAAGAAAGAGTGGTGGCAGCGCGTCCTGTGGATCGTGAATACGCGCGAATCGGGGTGGAATTGATGGGCCCGATGGATTTGGGGTGCCGGCACGACGCGGCACCGGCGGGGACTAAGCGAGAGACAAGATGCGCGCTTGCCTTCTTTCTTGCCCGAGCAGGGCTGGATTTGGCTGGAAGAAGAGGGTGCTCGAAACTCTGCCTCTCGAATCGCCCGCAATGATCGCAATCGTCACATCTGAAGGGCGATCCAGTGGCTCTGGCACTTTGGAAGACAGCCGACTGGGTATGAGTGTGTGTGTGTGTGTGTGTGTGTG